CAGAAGACAAGAGATCAAACAAGAAATCAACAATAAAGAGAGCTTAAGCGTAAAAAAAGGTAAACATAGAGAACATTGAAGCTATCATAGAGCAATTGGTATTCTCATAATGCCAAAGGAAATAAGTTGATAAAAAAGTGAATAAAAAAAAAACAAAAAACCGAATCAAATAATTATTTTAATTACAAAATTGCATTTGCGAACAATGGCGGAAATTGCGCCGCCAACAATTTTATTTTACCCATTGAAAAATAGGTAAATAGGGTATATTGGCTAAGTACTACCAGCAAAAAAAACGTAAGTATGCACTTATCAATAAATCTCAATCAATAAACAGAGCAAGCTAAAAGCGGAAATATAATTTTGGGAAGTTTATTTTTGTATTTCCCAGATTTTGGTAGGGAAAGAATCAGCTCAGGGCAGCATTTACGGTATCGGGTGGTCGTGCACTGCCGACCAAAACACTTTTACTTGTAATTTTGCCATTTTTTTTGCAGAAACTAAAAGCAAAGAAGCGCCATCAACTGTGCAGCTGACAATTAACCCGGTTTTCCTGCGGCCCCAAAGGCAGGCGCGGAAAAGCACAAAAAGGCGCAAAAAAACAGCAACAACAAAAGCAGATGAAAAGCGCCGGCCTGAGGGCAATAGAGTGAAGAGTGTGGGAGAGGGCATGGGGATAGTAGGTGTGGGTAGTATCGGAGAAAAGTGGGGCAGGTAAGTAAGTTTTGATTTATTTATGCAAATTTTGTGGGACATTGCAGGGCCCGACAAGAAAAAGGTAAAGGAGCGCGGAAGGGTATTTTCTAGTGGGCGTGGCATTGGATGAATGCTATATATAAATACATATTACTGACCCAATTCGCGCTACAAGCAGTCAGCTGGCCTCTTGTTAAAAAGAAAAAATACTTTTTTGCTCTAATAGCCAAAAACACTTACTTTTTTTTAGCACTGTACAGCAAAATGTATGCTTTGCCTTCGTACTATAAAGGTTTCATATATCTATCATGATTATAAAATACAAAATATATATAAAATCAGCTCTGAATCTTTTATGCAAATGTATGTATTATTTATAAGATTCGTTTGTTTGCTGCCATATACTGTAGAGTTCCATAAAAAATTCTAGCTCAAATTCTAATCCAATGGCAGATTATGTTGCTTATATAAATGCCTATTTAAAAACACTTTCACTTGGCACAGAACTAATGTGCACAATATCAAAGTCTGATTATCTGAGCGGGGTCTTATCTGGTCTAGCTAATTGTGCTTATTATGTAGCCTGACCAAGAACGAAATCTAACCCAGTTTTGCTCTTGTCATAAATCATAATACACGCGGGCAAACATAACCCAGTTCTCGTAGTTCCAGTTTCCACATTATTGAGGTTTACGAATTACAAATATTTAAGTAGTTTCAATATTGATGAGCGGGGCGAAACAAGTACATAAATAAATAAATGGAAAATCATATTTGGTGCGAAACTTAATTAACACTATATTGATTTTTTATACTCGATGTCAATCAATCGGTATTTGAATAATTGGTGAAGGCAGGGAGGTAGAAGGGAGGTAGTTAAACCGAGTTCTACCGTCTGCATACGGAGCATGACCTTTAAACGAATATCAAAGGCGAAATCCCGATGCACAGCACTGGCTGAAAATGTCACACGCCAAAGCGTCCAGAATTTATTTGCAGTGGGGTACACCCAACTGCTGAATATTCCTTAAAAATTTATAACTCTAACGCTTCACTAGTAGGCTAAATAATAAATGATTACATATTTAAATATCGTGGACTCTTTGGATAGATCCCAACAGATATAGCAACATAACGCTGATCTCTCAATCTGATCTATGGTATCCCAGAAAATATACTTATTTTATAATTTGTTTTTATTAGTTTTGAATCACTGAGGAGCAATCAAAACATGCTACAAAACTAATATACTCTCTTGTCTCTTGCTAAACCAGCAGAAAATCTATTTCTGTTGGGCGGGCCAGTGAAGTGGAATGGTAACTACATATTAGATTAAATTATACATGAACATTAATTTCTATACAATGTCGTCATAATAAAATTATAAATAATTATAAATATTAATTAAATAAACGTCCGATAATTTTTGCTAAATTTAAAAAGAAATTAGCAAACTTTTATCTGTTTTAGCGATTAAAAATCGTAAAATAAATTAAATTGATATAATTATAACATGACTCAGAATTATTTCAGATAAGCAAACATGATCAATAATGACTAATGCGTTGGAAACTGGGAAGTTTGGATCGGATGTGTCGATTCAGAACCGGTTCCCAACGCCGGCAATCTGAAAAAACTGCAGTAAACAGCAACAACAACAACAACAACAGCAGCAGTAGCAGCAGCATCAAGAAAAACAGATTTAACTAGAGACCACTTTCAGGTAAATACATGTGGAGATAAAGCAAGACAAAGAAGCTTTTCGCGAATGTCAACAGATAATCGAGGCGCATAGAAAATGATTTGTTGTTGCTACCTGCGACCAGCTAGGCAGGTAGCTCGCGAAGGTTCGGTGACCCCAGGACCTGCATAGACATGTCCGCAGAAAAGGTCTCCTTTAAACTTTACTCGCATGTCTACAGACTTATACGGTATACATACATTTATAATCAAGAATAGCTTAGGTGGGAGACCTATTCAATTTTCCGTAATTGTTTTCAAACTAGATTCTAATTTGATTTGCATGAGAACGTGAGTTAATGAACTTACCAAAGTTAAAAAGTTGATGCCGCCGTTTAATTTGAATAAGTTCAATTTGTTGAACTTCAGCACAAATAATTTGTCCGACGACAGCGTTGGCCGCAGGAAGAGCGCGGCTTTGATTTTGATCTACAGACAACAAAAGTGTAATTGTTTATTTATTACTTGATTTGCACTAGCAAAGACTCTTTAGCAACAATAGAGCTGTTGCGCCTGTGAGTGTGTGTGTACGTGTATCGCTGCCAACTAACATACATACGCTCATACTCGTGCATAAGCATGTCCACATACATACAATACACATGTAGCTGTGATAAAAACAATAGCAAGAGCCGATAAGTTGACGTCGATACGTTATTTGGTTTTGTAACGCGTGCAAAATATGGGTGCCGCAAGCAGTGCTAGTAAATATTTATAAACAATTTGTGAATGCCAAAGCGGCGGTGTGCATCGTTATCTTTTGAATAACAGCAACAAAATCTGCACACCACGCTCAAAATTCCTGTGCTCTTCTTTTCCGACTGTAGTGGGGGGAGGCGCATGGGGCGTCTGATTTATATACATTACATTCACATGCACATACATACTCTTAGAAATATATATATATATATATATATATATATATATATATATATATATATATAT